AAATTAATAAAAAAGCATTTAAAACACGTTGACTGCCGAAGCAAATGTTGTGGTTGGGTCTTAGTAAACTACAATATCTAATAGACGCATGAATAAAATATATAAACGCGGCGCGAGATTAAATTATTACAAACATAGGTCGCGTGCATATATTGTGAATAATATATTCAGGTTGTCCCATTAGTGCGTAATTGTTCAATATTTTAATTTGTGTTGTAAACACGTAAACAATTTCTAAATAAAAGTTATATGCATTTCAAAAATAGGTATTTTAAAGATATTTTTAGACACAGGGTTTTGCGTTTTTGTCTGACAAATAAAACGGTATATTTTTTAAAAAGAAATCCCTGTATTTTACTTCAGTTTTTGAATGCTTTGGTAATGCTGTATTTAACCCTAGAATTTTATTAACAAATATTGCAGGGTTGCCAATAAATTAATTTTTTTATGAAATTAGAGAATGATTCTGACCCCAAATTAAATTATCATTATTTAGGTAGGTTTAAAATAATTTCAATTTTTTTTTAAATGTAGTAATAAGATAGTAAGCTAACGAATAGTGGTAATAGAACTGGATTATTTTTTACAGTGTGTTTTGAAAAACAAGTCTTAAATATGGCTAATTCCAAGTTAAATTTATTTAATTTTTTTCAAATGCCACACCCTGTATATTATTTAAGCATTCAATTCCTTATAAATTAACATATCCAACGATATCAATAACACATATACAGGGTGTCCCATGAGTGCGTAATTGATCGATAGCAGTTTTATAATAGGAAATACGAAAAAATTAATATAAAAGTTGTATGACCATAATTAACAATTATTTATAAATATACAGGATAATCCATAAACGATTGTCTGACCAAACCTATACATTTTTAAAGTAAAACACCCTGCAGGTGCATATTTGACTGTTTTCACATCGTTTCAATAATTTCAATTTCATTCATTTGCTATGTTGTATATAGGATGTGTGAAAATGGTCACGATTTTCTTAATTTTCTAAATGGAACACCTTGTATGTTATGCCACCAATTAATATAATATTCCATTGAAAAAAATTTAAGCATTTGTAACCTCGCGTGTTGACACACTCTATATAGAACATAGCAAATGAATAAAGTCAATTAAAATTATTTGACGACGTGAAAACAATCAAATATGTATAACTACCTGCAGGGTGTTTTGATTTAAAAATGTATAGGTTTGGTCAACATCTCGTTTATGGACCACCCTGTATATATAGGAATAATTTTTAATATGGTCATATAACTTTTATATTTTTTTTTTCTTATTTCTAATAATAAAACAGCTATCGATCAATTACGCACTGATGAGACACTCTGTATATATGTTATTCTCTAACATGTTGGTATCGTTGGATATGCAAATTTATAAGGAATTGTATGCTAAAATATTATATCAAATGCTGCCTTTGAAAAATTGAGTAATTTGACTTAAAATTAACCATTTTAAGACATGTTTCAAAACACTCGCTATAAAAGAATCCAGCACTATCACTACTATTCGTTATCTTAATGTGCTATAAGTCAGTATATTAAACAATTTTGAATTATGATAATTTAATTTAGGGTCTGCATTATTTTCTAATTTTATAAAAATTTAATTGCTTGGCAGACCTGTAATATTTTTTTAAATTATTCTAAGGTTGAATACAGTATTACCGAACCATTCTAAAATTGAAATAAAATACATGTTCTATTTTAAAAATATACTAAGCAAAAATGTAGCACCCTGTATATATCTAAAAATATTTTTAAAATATGTATTTTTTAAATCCATATAACTTTTTTTTGAAACATGTTTGCGTGTCTTTAACATAAATTAAAATATTGAACAATTACGCACTAATAGGACATACACATGGGTACATACACATAGCAGTCAACGTGTTAACTCAGAAATAAGATTCCTTATAAAGATAAAATAACATTCAGGAGAAAAAAGCAAAGACCGCCAATATTACGAGCGTATCATACAATGATGCCAGGTCATTCGGATTTAATTTACATCGGAATGCAATAAAGTTCCTTTCCTTTCCTGCATTTCACTATTGTATATTTCACCCACTTTAAAATCAAATTCGTCCTAGAAAGAATTGTGAAATTATCGTATAAATCGATAATCTGGCAACGTGGTCAACACTTGTTCATACACAGGCAAAATCAATCGATAATTTGGAACCAAACGAGACAAATATATATGAAAATCACGAAACAATAAAAGACGGCATACACCTGTATCTCTGTTTCAAAAATTGGTACCTCTAAACAATCATTTACCTATTAAAACCATCTCTAAAGTAGAATAGCTATACTGTTTTTTACGGTGACATCTTCTTAAAAATAGATGAACTACATGAACTGTACACAATTACAGGAATTCATAGAAAATCTCTAATTTGACAAATAAATTTATCAAATATTTGTTAATCGTATTTCGAGTTAGATTTGAAAAATACGCAATAAAATTTAGAAATATTTTGGCGGGATACTTGGAAAAATATGTAGAATGAAATCTCCTACTTTTTAGCCTCTGGTTTTAAAATCACTTTTTATGATTTTTTTTTAAATTCAGTGTATAAACAGGACAAATAAAAAATAGGAGATTTCATTCTCCAAACCTTATACTTTAAGCTGGTAGAAGATTTATTTTAATTCATTTAGCGGGATTTAAATGCAATCGGAAATGGTGAACCCTTGCTTCTTATATGAGAAATACAGTGATACTGCGGCCTTAAGCTGTTCATATTTTTTGCTTTAACATTTCGTTTGTGTATAATATTATTTATAGGTTATATACGTGTGGATATTTTATTATAAATAATTTTATGCAACGTTGCCGGCATAGGTAAAGGTATAAAAAATCTTCAATTTAGGGTAATTTCGGCATAATTGTTTATTTAAAAAACTTCATACTAAATTACTATTTTTTTACGGAACTCATAATCATAAAAAAAGTATAAATTGTTTACAGTGTATCATAAAAGTCTGTATAATATGGAAAACTTTTTTATTTATTTAAGAAAGGTAAAAAAATATGAATTTGGCTCAAGACTATTTTAAATTTTAATTTTAATAATGTAAATAAAAAAAGCTAACATTTTATTTTTAATTTTGTAAAAATATTTGTAAAAATCAAAAAATGTATTAATATAACCTCAAACCTGACCTGTTCATTAACCATTAAACTAGTTTACTTCACCAGTCCAACCATGCGTGCTATAAAAATTGAAGAATGTGGTCTCTTCTAGGTAAATTTCATATTTGCATTCAATGAGAGAAGCTTGATGATAAAAATTTTATGTTTTCAAAAAAATAGTTGAATTTAATAGATTAACCGCCTCCAGAAGGCGCTTTGTTTACTTTCTGCTATTTCTAAAGGAAACGGGTAACATACTGGTAATAGATTAAAGAATCTTTCGTGACAGTGGCACGTGTCTTTGATTTTTAAAATCAAAATTATTTCGTTATAATCTAATAATGGTACCAAATTTTTTTTAAGATGTGTTTTTCCAGTGTACAAATTAATACACACAAATAAATAATTAATGTAGCAGAGCAGAGCAACTTAATTTGGTTTACTGAAAGGTAACCATGTTGAATGAGGAGGAAAACAGGACAGTATTCTAAAATTCTAATAGATATAGAACATAGTACTCTTAGAAATTTTGTACAAACGGGGAGGTTTTATGTGGGTAAGAAAAAATATATATTCGTTCAGTAGAACGCAGTGGTTTACTTTTTCTTTCTGTAGTCTGTTAGTAGAATAAATAATGTATGTGAGTGTAAAAAAAATATTTTTAACTCAAATAAAAGGTAAAAAGTAGCCACCACTGTAATTTTATATTCAAAGTAAACACAGTTGTATCAAGTGTTAAACAATGACCAATATTTTAATTAAAGGGTCAAAATTTACTGGGGGCGGGGAGGGGCGACGGGATGAATGATTTTTTATTTGTAACTTATTGCGACTAATAAAAAAAATGTTTTTATATAACATACAGCGATGCAGAACTTTTATCAAGAATAAATATTTTTTAGAAAAATTAAAACTTTTTCCCATGTGTATAAAACTTTTTGGAACACACTGTATAATGGATTGCGACGTGCTCGAAGAGCACGTCGTTAACTACAAAGTGTTTGAAGAGCACGTCGCAATCTATCATACAATGTTTTTAATGGTTTTAGATGAAAGTTCAAATATTAACCAATTTCAATATATACAACTATTTTACAAAATTTTAAACGCCTTGTATAAAATCACGAAATAATGATAATAAGCATGAGCGTCATTTCCTGTTCGTCGCGACCGTCGCCAGCGTATTTTTTCTCGATTGGGGCTTAATGAACCAGTCCGCGAGAATTAAAACAGATGATTTATGTTTCAACCCTTTCCTCGCGGTCCCCAGAGATAAAAAAGACATTATACTTCTGTTTCACACTAAATGAAAAAAGCAATATCTAAAACCACTACAGATATATATCATGCAAGACGTTTTAAATGTCTCTTGCCCGTACAGTTTTCGGATACTTTAATTTTCTGTTTTTCGTTATTAACGACTTCTTTTCTTTTTCTGTTTTATACCGGTTTCCAACCGTAATGGTCTCGTTTTGAATCGTAGAAAAAGTTTTTTATGTAGTAGTAACTAAAACTAGACCACCGGAAGTTATTTTTGTATATTTAGAGTCATCAGAATCATCGATTGTGTCTCTAATTATTATCCTACGAAAATATCTTTGTAGGATATCACCGCTGTCACCACTGTAGTCACATAAGTAGTTTTAAATCAATTAACCTTACAAATCAATCCGTAGTTCTTGACGGAGCGGATGTGTCGACGCGGTTAGCACCTGCAAATAACTGCAAAGCACTTTTCAACGATCAAAATCAACAACACACCACACTACTCAACAACTACACAACTCACCATCGCAACATAACTGACCAAAGCGTGTTTTCCTCTATTCCAGATCTTCATGCACAAGTCTGCTATGCAGATGCATGCCAGAGACCTAGCGGGTAGAAACGAGGTGAAGCCTCATCAGTGCCAGCAATGCCTCAAATCGTTTAGCAGTAATCACCAGCTAGTGCAGCATATCAGAGTTCACACCGGCGAGAAACCATACAAATGTTCCTATTGTGACAGGCGATTTAAACAGCTGAGTCACGTCCAGCAACACACAAGACTTCATACGGGTAAGTTCAGTGCTACCTTTTTTGCTAGTTGATGTGATTCGTTTATAAATTTTTTCTTTAATTTTTTGTTACGTTTTGCTTGAAGTTAGATCCGTAACATGGATTGTCTCCAACGTATTAAAAAGAACTAAACAGTGACGTGTATTTAATTTTTAGTTACTATCTGCACGTATTTTATTTCAGTTATTGTAACGTTAGTTTTGTCAAATTCTTAAGGTGAATTATTCCTCTAGCTAGGAATTCCATTGGCGCTGCTGAATTGAAATTTATTTAGCACCAAAACAAAATTAAATAGACATTGTGTGATAAAATAAACCTACTGACAAATTTTTTGCTGATTGCTTGACACTATTAAGGTCAAGATTTGGATTATTAATATCAGTAGACCCAAGTCCTTTTTGGAGCATCATAATTATTTAAGGAATTCTTCCTCTATAAGTCTATTTTTATGTATGAGAGAGTATTAAAATAATAAAGCGTTCGTAATCCATAGGCGTAGCACTTCTTTTAGTAGACAGTTAAAATATTTTTTGAAGTTATTCCTCGAGTATACACTTATATTTTCACCTAATTAACCTGCTTATAACTTCTAAAGAGCTGAAGGTAAAAAAGTGCAATTTTTTCTAAAATGTTTTATTTTTCCACAAGGTATGTTAAGAACATTGTGTCAAACGGATTATCTAGGTATAAAGGTTTAAACTTTGACTTTTAAACAACGTTACGTTCATAAATAATAATTTTAATATAAAAACTACTTCTTACCTACAAATCCAAATCAGAATCGAAATCAAAAGATGAACTGTCGCAACCAATATTTACAATGAGTGGATCGATCATTTCATCAGTAATATTGTCCAACTTCCACATTTTCTCTTTTTCTTTAATCATATAATTTACTGCCTTTTTCCAGTTTTCAAGCTTCACATTATTTACAGCCTTCAAAAACAACTGTTTAACATCACTCATTTTAAAAGAATTATTTTTTCTTGAAACTTCTCCCTTTATCTGTGCCCATATCAGTTCAATCGGGTTTACTTCGCAATGATATGGTGGTGATCTAACCACCGTCATCCCACGATTTTTTGCAATTTCATCAATTTCATATTTTTTTAATTTCTCTTTATGAAGGGAACACAAATGATACAGTTCTTTTCTCACAGAACCGGGATGGAACTTAATATTCTTTGAATTTAGCCAATTCTGTAAATCTTTTTTTAACCACTTGGTTGTGGGCATTTTTTCTATAAGTCTCGAGTGATAACTTGCATTATCTATTACTATTATACAGTTCTGAGGAAGAAGATCTATAATTTGTTCGAACCACTCTTTAAAGACATCAGCATTCATGTCCTCATGGTAGTCACCGGTACGAGTAGATTCAAAAGTCAATAAACCACCTTTAACAAAACCGTTTGAACTACCGATGTGTACTATTATTAGTCTGCGCCCCTTTCCTGATGGTGGATTTAAACCAGTAGTTAAATTATTTAAAAAAGCCTGTCTTCGACTTGTAACAGTTTCATCTTGCCAAAATTTATTTGGTTTATGTCCCTCGTTGATCCATGTTTCATCTAAATAAAATATATTTCTTCTTAGGTTTCTCATTTCTTTTACAGTCCTTAGGTAATTTCTTCTCCATACTACAATATCGCTTATTTCTATTAAAATAGACTTTCTGGAATGCTTTTTCCATAGAAAACCTATTTCTTTTAAAAGTTTCCATATTGTGCTTCGACTCATTTCAGGGTAATCTTTATCATCTCGAACCGTGGCAAGAACTTTGTCTACTGTCGGAAATTTTTTTCTAAAGAAGAACGCATGCACTTTCCTTCGAAGTCTTTCTTTCAAAAGATTTTCTAATTGAAATTTTGGTTTTCCTGGAGCTTTACGTGCTGTTTGAAACTCGCCACATTTCTCTTCTTTAACAACTCTTGTAAATCGTAGATTTCCCAACACCAAGTGTACTACTAACTAATTCCACTGTATCATTAACACTTTTACATAAATGTTTGTAAATGATTTAAAACAATTAAATATTAATGTTTTTTCATTAACTCTTAAAGGACCGATTTTTTGTCGTTTACGCGACCCTTCCAAATTTTCCATGATCACACTAGAATTCACACTGCACCTTGCAAGTTGCAACTAAACGACATTTAGTAAACTGTCAAGAATACACAACTTGGACCTCCTTACTAAATGGAAAACCTATAATCGCATTTTCGGTGAAATTTGTTGGGAAGGTATTTATCTACTTATAATTCGATTACTATAAGAAATTCTTGGAATTAAAATAAAACAAAATTGGCAAATAGGTACTTATTGAAAATAATCTTAAGATACGGCTATGTAATCTTTAATACACAGGGCTTTTGGCCTGTCCAAACCTTTTTCTATTGTTCTGTACAGCTTTTGTTTATAAAGGACCAATAAAAGACCCAAAACTTGTAATAGCTCAGGTACATTTATTACAATTTTGGGAAATATTTAGATTATTCTGTAAAAATATTTAAAATGACCGTACTAAGTTTTGCATTAGAAATGCTGTTTTATTACTCTCTCATACATAAAAATAGACTATAGTCAGAGTTAGGAAATCTATTGGCGCTGCTGAATTGAAATTTATTTAGCACCAAAACAAAATAAAATAAACATTGTGTGATAAAATAAACCTACTGACAATTTTTTTGCTGCTTTCTTGACGCTATCAAGGTCAAGATTTGGATTATTAATATCAGTAGACCTTTTTGAACATTATAAATTTAAAGAACTTTTAGTTCCTGGTATTCCCTAACGATCTAAATTAAGGGCGTTGTTATTTATTATAATTATCAATGATGTTTTAAGAGAAAATAATGTCACATTGGTTTTTACTGATCAATTACCTTTATTCCAAAAACTTATATAACAAGTGTCACTTGTTACTTATTTTAGGCTGCCATTGTCAATCACTGTCCCAACTGCTATTCTCCTTAGATACATTGTCGATTTCAAGAATTTTCTCTACGATTTTTTGTATCAGACAATAATAAACATCTTGTACAATACAATTGTGACAGAATTAGTAAATATTTATTTCTGTTTAAAATCATCTGCTATATTTAATATTGATTTTAAATCATTAATAACTTTGTCTGCTGTTTCCTCCGTCCTTCAAGATCATGATTCAGAAAAATAAAACGGTAAAATTGCGTTTTTATCGTCAAACCATCAACATTGTATAAACGACCGCAAGATTTTTAAGCATCACCTTCGTATTTCTAAAATTTATTCATAATTAGGACAAGGTCAGATAAATGCACTTTACTTGCATTCACACTCGATGACTGGTAGGACTGGTCTGCTTAATATTACAAACCAAGTGGTATTGAACTAAATGAGATATGCATATATAAATAACCATTATTGCATGATTATATATAGGATTCTTTGCTGTTGAGGAAAAAAATTAAATATCGACGTTATTGACAATTTTAAAGCGTATTGATTGGGCAAAAAGTAAATAGGAAGAAAATAAACAAGTGGGGGGAACGTACAGAAAGAAGAATTAATATTTGAAAGTAGGTTTGGTTTTTGGTAATTAAATTTCAATATAGATTAGTAATAAAAGAAAATAACTTATTTAACTAATATATCTTGCTTTTTTATCTATCTTATAATGAATTTATATTATTTTACACCTATTTAGCGTCATTACTTAAACTGTCTTAATTCAAAACGATTGTTCTCCGTAATTTAACCAGTTTTCGAGATTTTTCGAAATAGAAAAGATTTTTTATACTATTTTTTGTCTATCTTCCTTTTTTTATCTATTTTATAATGACACAGACAGGACTAGCCCAAAATAGTGTTCACCAGATTATACAATAATATAGTACGAAGTTGTACAATAACGGAGAAAGATTACATATTCCTATTTAGAAAATATTTTAACTTTACGAACATAAAACTATGAAAGAAAATATTTACGTTAAGTTAAGTTTTTGATATTCTAGGGAGGGGAGCATTTAAATAATAGTTGGTTGCTGCTTTTTAAAAAAAAATGTAATAATATTTCTAGTATAGTATAGTATAGGATTATATTAAATTGAAGCATAAACATTATATCAGAAATTTGTATTGTTTGTTTTAAAATTCTTTATTTACATTTATATACAATTCACATCTACAAACTCAATATATAAGAAGAAAGATACATATACATAAATAAATATCGTTTTCTTTGGAATCTATACTAGATTCTGGCTGATGTTCTGCCCATTGATCCTGTTAGATGTTTTCGTCATTGTGAATTGAGTCTACTCCTTACCAGATTGGTATTATTAGTCAGTTTTGAGTTATTATGTTTTCACAGTCAGTGAACTTGAATGAAAGTTTTGTTTGAATTTAATTTTGTATATTTTCCCTTAAAAAAATTATACATAAGCATGTAGGAATATCGTCTAAACCGCGATCTTTATCAAGCAAATTATTTATTTTTAATGAAATCATTTCACGAGATATTTTATATTGGATAATATTCAGAGGAGTGCTGTTGAAAATAGCAGAAAAATCACTGGGACCACTTGGCACAAAAACAGACGAAAAGAAATTAGAAAAGGCGTTACAGATTTCCTGTTGATTTACAAATCTATTTATTTCAAGTGTCTCTAAATAGTAATATTTCAAAATTTTCTGTAGAAGAATTATTTTCAGCTAAAATATGATTTGAAAAAGTAGAATTATTTTTATTTTTAACATAACTATTGAAATATTTTGAATAGCGCTTTTTGAAAGTACGGCCCTTTTGACCAATACACAATTTTGGACAACTTATTATTTTTAATATATTCAAAACCTTATTCGCTACCTTAATTTTAACTAAATATTTTGATACCATCCCTAAAATGCAACTGCTTGTTGATGATACACATTTATTCGTATAGTCGTAGGTTATTATGCATTATGGTGAATTTTGCAGACACTCTACATACCAATAAACGACAAAAAACGAAAGTAAC